ACACTTGCATCATGAGGACAACAAAGGAGGGTAATTAAGGCTGCCTGGTTAATCAGGGTAGAGGCTACCTCACACAGGGGAAGAAACAGCAATCTGCAAGGCAGTGGATTTTTAGGGATACATGTACAAAAATATCTGAAGTGCTACCGTACATGCTACATTTGAGAAACCCAAGGCAGTTTAGTATGAATGACTACTTAAGAATACAATCAGTATAGTCTGTGGAGCTTTCTGAACATCACCCACTGATACTCCATCCACAATATCTAATTCCACAGGTATGTGGTATCACAGATGACTCTACAGTGATTTGATATGCAACCAAGATTGCAAATTAACGAGCAAGAGCATAAGCATACCTGAAGGAGGTGAAGCTACAGAAGCAGGCAATATCAAATTGTGAAGAGCCTAATATGTCATGCAAAGAAAGGACACTGCATTTTACTGAATGACAATGGGAAAAATGTAAAGCAGAGGAGTGGCAAGATCAAATCTTTCAGAATTATTTTGGTGGCAGAAGACAGACTAGCAGTTAACTACAGGCAGGAAGTCAGCCTGGAATAACTACTCTGAAAACCTATCTGGCAGGCAGTAACTACTGAATATGAACATATGCATAAGCTATGACCCAGCAATTCTACCCTTAGGCATATAACCAATGGAAAGCAAATTTATGTTTACCAAACAACATGAAAAAGAATGTTCACAGCAACAGAAAGCATAATGGTTACACATTGGAAGCTACTGAAATGTCCATCAAATAGAATGGATAAATTCAATATATTCCAACAAGAAAATATTATGAACTACTAACAATGCACAAACTACACTAATACAATACAATACAATAATACTGATGAATCTCTGTATAACAATTACATCTCTATGACTCCATTTATATTGTACCATAAAGTAAGCCACCGTGTTAGTTAGGATGGAGGCCACAGCAAGAGCCTGGCATATTAGCAATATTCTGGTTTTGGGTGCCGGTTAAGTGGGGAGTGGTGACAGAAAAGTGGCCATCATAATTCACAGGGTGGGTCATGTGTTTGTAAAACATCAATACTAAAGATAAAGGAACAGTTTTCCAACTACCTTGGCTTTTTAATATTTGAAGTCTAAAATGTCTTGCCTATGATAATGTGGTAAATGGTTTAATTATGACCTTTTAATTTTTCATACTAAATCTACTACATGGACTCACCATTTAATGTTCCTCCTTCAGATGGCCTAAGGAAATAAAAAAATAATATAAGCTGTGCAACAACCTTAGTTCTGAGTATCATTTAACTTGTGATTTTTTATAAGGTTACCATAATTATTTAATGAAATGCAATTAAAGGAATAAAGATATTCAGATCTGTATGTCTGAATACTTGCCATTCTCCTACTCCATATACAGACATGCATATATTTACATGTACTCATGTTACCAACAACTTGTACCTATACTTTATGGCTACATAAATATTATTTTGGAGTCAAAATGATGGCTACTAGATCTAAATATAATATTTTATCTCATGGCTCAGTATTTGTGGAGACTCACTCAGTACTGTGACAATGCAGGGAAATGATTTTCTATGATTCTAGAAGTATTCCCACGGACTGATAGGAAAAGGACTGAGGCATTATTTTGCAAGATTCAATATCCAATCCATTTATTTATAACAAGTCTTGATTCCAAGTGGGAGTCCTTTGAATTCTAAGGATTCCTATGCAAATGAGATAGATACAATAAAAAGGGGAGTGGGACTTGACCAGGATGAATGCCAGGCTTAGTTCTCCACTATGCAGCTGAGCCTCACTTGCGACCTAAAGTTCAAGATCCAAAAGGACCCTATAAACATAGAACGACCATGGCCTCTTCCCAGTTCCCACATTCCAACTGGCCCCAAAGGTTATCTTCACCTTAGTAAGGTAAAGGTATTTTTGTAAGGAGTATTTTGATCCAGCATTATTCACTTTTCTGCTGCTAGCAAGCCACTCTTTTCTCAGTACTTGACTCAATCCCCAAAACCAAAAGAGAAAAAAGAAAAATCAAAAACAAAAACAAAACTTCTTCTGTTTTCATCTCCTAAAGCTTTGGTTATAAAGACACAATCCCAGAAGGGGATTAAAAATAGTTAAGTCTTAATTTATTTATGCCAACACCATTTACTTTCCTCTGTGTTCATACCTACTTCAGAGTCACAAAGTGGAGACACTGATAAGTACTGCTTGAAAATGGCCTCTCTTCCCCAGTCGTACTTATCTGGGTGCACTGACAAATGGGTGTCAGCCATTGAGGGGCAATTACCCGTCAGACTGCTTTTTCTCTTTTGGTCCTGAAGTTATCACGTTCATTAAATAACTTTTCAGTACCAAAGCTTTCTCAAGTATACTGTGTATCATTGCTCTAATCATCAAGGTATTTTCCAACAGCAGTTATAATGCTTGATTAGAATGACTGACAAATATGTTAATATTAACCAAGTTCCTCCAATTTCCTCTCTGTAAAAATGGGAAATGCTACAACAAATATCTTAAAAGGAGTATAAAAGAGGTAAGACAGAGAAGAACAAATATGGTACTAATTAATTCAGATACTTTTCAGGCCATTAAGAAAAGACTTACTTACATTTCTCTGTTTGATGGTCTATCTCGTAACCAATCCTTTAGTCAAAAACAAACACAAAAATTTAAATATAGAAGCAGTTCTCTAGAGGCAATGTTAACTATTTAACACTGTTTTTTTTTTTTTTTTTAACATTCTTTAAAAATGAAAGGCTGAGAACTTAATATGAAGTCCTTGTTTCATACAACTAACTAAATAACCACAAAGAGGAATAAACAAATTCAGGAACGTTATTTTCTCCAAGAGTTGTGTTTGTGTCTCTCTGTGCACCCATGTGGGTATTATCTTCCTTTAACCCATGCTTGGTTTCACATGGCTGCTGGTAATCTGAAACCAGGCCATGAGGCTTGTACAGAGAGCACTTTACCTACTGACTCAATGCCCCAGCCTCCAGGATTTCTAGTTCTTCAAATTCTTTGTTTCTGATGACAATCTTATTCTCCGAGCATGTCTCTGATTCTAAAAATAATTTGTGCTTCTTGCCAAAAGAACATCAAAGTATAAATAGAATTAAAATCACACCAAGTAAATACAAATAAAATGATGGAAACACAAGCATTAAGACACTGCAGCCATTTTATACAACCATTCATATGGCTTTTATTCAGTAAACTTAGTCATGTTTCTAGACATATTTAGCTTCCCTAGACTGGGATTCATATTTTCTGAATTTGAATTTTTATATATTAATTTTAAAAATCCAATTCATTTACAGTTCTTCAAATTCTACTTTCTCACAGCCAATTAATTAGATGTACATCCCTGGTCTTTTTTTTCTTTTCCATCTAAATGTACTTGATCTGTGCTGCATTCTGGTTTTACTTAGTAAATCTCTCTTCAGAGTGCCTCACCTGAAACATCTGGTCTTTAATCTTGACCATTACTGTGTAGCCATGAAAGGTGGTCTGGAATTTGCTAACCTTAAACATGCTCCCTCTAGTCTTTGTCCCCAGGTACTAAGGTTACAGGCATGTGTTCTATACCACAAAGTATTTGTTGTTGCTGTTGTTTTCCTTTTTTGGTTTTGTGAGACAGGGTCTCATGGTGTGGCCCTGGCTGTTCTGGAACTCATTTTGTAGACCAGGCTGACCCTGACCTCCCAGAGATCTACATCTGCTGAGTACTAAGATTTTAAGATGTGTCAACATGCCTGTTGACTATTTTACTTCTTTCTCTACATATTTTTGAAATTGCTAATATTTTTGAATAATATCTTTTCTTTACCTAATGTTTTAGTATTATAATCAATTTTTTTCTATTTTTAGTAAGAATAATGAGGTTGAATAAAGTCTCTGTAGTTAGGAAATCATCTTAATAGAACTTTGTTGCAGTATTGTACAACTTAGATTCAACCGACTCCTAGAGAACAGGACTGGTCACAGTGAAATTCTATTAACAAACTCTTTTTCCTAATGATACAACTTTTTTTGTTGTTTTTTTGAGACAAGGTCTCACTATGTAGTTCAGGCTAACCTCAAACATGAGATCATCTGCCTCAATCTGTGGATTATTGAGATTACAGTTCTGGGATTGTACATTTGTACAAAAAAATCAAACAAACTGTGCTTAATAACATGCGTTTTGTTTGTTTTTTGTTTTGCAGTTTTGCAAGACAAGGTTTCTCTGTATAACAGTCCTGGTTTTCCTGGAACTTGCTCTGTAGACCAGGCTGGCCTTGAACTCACAGAGACCCACCTGCTTCTGCCTCCCAAGTGCTGGGATTAATATCGCCTGATTTAATAACATGATTCTTAACAACCCAACCATGTAAGTTATAGTTCTATTTGCTGTATATAACTGTATGAGCACTGATTTCTCGATACTTATCTGCCTTTGCCTAAGCTAGTGGTCTTGGTTGTTCACCTGCTTTTAAGGAGAGTTTACAAAAACCAAACACTACCACAAGTGGCTGGGAATGAATTCATGTAATTAGCTTCAATTCAAACAAGAAGTCTTGCTTATCCTCTGTGTAAACTTTTTGAATGTTCATAACAGGATGTGGTGATATTTTGTTTGTACTCTAATCAAATAAAAGTTGCCTGAAGACCAGAGGACAGAGGCAGCTTAAACATAGAGGCAAGACAATGGTGGCACACACCTTTAATCCCAGCACTTGGGAGGCATAGGCAGAGATCCATCTGGATTTCTGTGAGTTCAAGGCCACACAGAGCTACATGAGATTAATCCAGTCTAAAAGAAGAGCCAGGCAATGGTGGCACACACCTTTAATCCCAGCACCAGGAAGGATGAAATAGGAAGTGATAGTCTGGGTGGAGAAAGGAATATAAGGTGGGAGGAGACAGGAATTCAAGCTCTTTCAGGCTGAGGATTTGGTGAGTAAGAGGTGGTGGCTGTGGCTAGCTCTGCTTCTCTGATCTTTCAGCTTTCATCCTGATACCCAGCAATGGTTTTTTATTAAGACCAATTAGGATTCATGCAACAGCAGGAGGAGACTCTTAAACCGCCACCATGTACTGAGGTCAGTTTTCTAAGGAAACTGTTTTTAAGGCTTGATATAATTGCCCATAAAATACTAATCATGACTTTTAAATATTCATTAGTAAGTATGTATATGTTCTTGCTAATATGCTACTCAACTGAAATATACAAACCGGTAACAAAGCTGCTTTGGAATCTACTTCCGGGGAATCTTCTGTAGACATTCTTCTACTACTGCTTTCTGCTACGAGAATATAAAAAATAAAAAAACATTTGAACTAAATTTTTTTTTTCTCGTTTTTTTTTTTTTTTTTTTTTTTTTTATATAGCCCTGTCCTGGAACTCACTCTGTAGACCAGGCTGGCCTCGAACTCACAGAGATCCACCTGCCTCTGCCTCCTGAGTGCTGGGATTAAAGGTGTGCACCAGCTAAACAACTAACAAAGCAAAGTGCTTCAAGGTAGAGTATAACCTCATAAGATGGTTTCTTCTCTTCAACAAAGCTGAACCCAAGAGTTATAAGAGGCCTATAAATCTTCAAGCCATAAAATTTATTCTAAGTAAATTATTCAATTTATTGTGAAAACCCAGTAAGAAGCAAAATATAAAACAAGTCCTCTCCTATTTTCAAATCACCCCTATTGACAGCCAAGGTTATTTGTTTCTTGTGCATCTTTCTGGAGAGTGTTTCAGTTAGTTTAAGTATGTACTAAATAGCACCTACCACTTGACAAAAACCGCAGCATATCACATACTTTGAGGGTACCTTTCTTTTTTTAATGGTTAGGTGGTTTTGTTTTCAGATATGAGTGTCTGTGCATGATGCCCAGGCTTTCCTGGGCTTAAAAAAATGACCCTGCTACCTCTGACACCCAAGTATCCGTAACTTTAGGTTGTGATACTGTGCATGGTTTTGTTAGGGTTTTAACTTTAAGCTCAGAGATGTTCCATGGAAGTACACAGGGTTTCTCTATTATTCTTCTTTATTATTATTATTATTTTAGAAGGGGTCCCACTTTGCAGCCTTGGCTAGCCTGGAACCTGCTATGTAAACACACCTGCTCCCAGAGGTCTACCTGACTTTGGTCTTATTATCATTTAATTTTTAAAGATAATTAAGATTCTCTGAGGCTGTTGTTACATATGGTGGTGAGCCAATATGTGGGTTCCGGAAATCAAATCTGGATCCTCTTAGGAGCACCCAGTGCCCTTCATGGCTGAACCATCTCTCCAGCCCACCTATTTTTTTATATTAACTTTAATTTCACAGTACAGATGTATAATAACAAAGCTAGACAAACTACTGGTTAACACTGCCCTGTTCCTAATGCTTTACTCTGATAATAATAAAGAGTGCTATATTATTCTTCCCACTCTTGACTTAAGATGATGTCCTTGCTGTCACAATCCTAAATGAACTCTTTTTTGAAAGATCAAAAAATGAAAAATCTTAGAAAAAAAGTTCTATGCCAAAAGCACAGAGAACAGTTAGTCATGGCGGCACACTCCTTCCCTTTCAGCACTTAGGAGAGGAGCCAAGTTGAAAGCCTTGAGTTCAAGGGCCACAAGAAGATCCATTCTCACAGAAAGGTGAGACATTCTAACACTCAGGGAAAAACTTTTTAGTAACCTGAAAATGATAGAATATATGTTACTCTGAGTATCTCAAAGAAATTTAGTTAAGTATCAAAGAATTTAGGATGCTGATTTAAATAACCTCGTGACATGACCACACTATTAGGAAAGAGTGAAGGCCCGTGTATTTGTGTGTATGTGTTCAGTCTGGAAATGGTGGAAAAAAGAGAGTATAGTCTACGCTTAGTTAAGAAAGCTAAGAGCTAGACATAGTGGTGCACACCTTTAATCTCAGTTCTTGAGAGGAATGGGCAGGAATTGCTGTCAGAGGCCAACCCAGTCTAGATTTATATAGCAAGTTCTAGGACAGCCAGGGATACATAGAGAGACCCTGTCTCAAGAAACAAACAAACAAATAAAATAAAAAGCAAGCAAGCAAACAAGAGATGTGACATAAAATGAAATAAGACAGAGCAATATAATTGTTTTATTTTTAGAAACAATACACACATTACCCTCAAGTATTATCTGACAGTTTCACCTTTTCCTTGATAATTATTTCCATCATTTCTTTTACTGACCTTATTTCCAGGACTAGAATATAAAATATAAATAGCTACAATTCATTTTTGATACGTTTTTACAGATTACTTTTATTGTAATTAAAAAACTCCATTCTTACATTACTAAGTTTTATTCATGAACAGATGGCTCAATTTTATCAAATGCCTTTTCTGCAGCTATTGATATAATTTTTAGGCTTGAATCTGCTACTATCACTCACTGTAGTAATTATTTGATTGCCAAGCCAACCCAAATTTCTACAGTAATATATACTGTTGAACTAAGTGACAGAAAGAGATTTTAAAAAGTGATGGTGAGGGGACAAAAAAAGCACCTTTTAAAAGGAAAACTTCACTGCTGTGGGATGGTCTATATGTCAAACTGCTCTGATTGGTCAATAAATAAAACACTGATTGGCCAGTGGCCAGGCAGGAAGTATAAGCGGGACTAACAGAGAGGAGAATTGAGAGAACAGGAAGGCGGAGGGAGACACTGACAGCCTACACCATGACAAGCAGTATGTGAAGATGCTGGTAAGCCACATGGCAAGGTATAGATTTATAGAAATGGATTAATTTAAGATGTAAGAACTAGATAGCTAGAAGCCCGAGCCATTAGGCCCAAACGGTTTAAACAATATAAGTCTCTGTGTTTACTTGGTTGGGTCTGAGTGGCTGTGGGACTGGCGGGTGAGAGAGATTTGTCCTAACTGTGGGCCAGGCAGGAAAACTCGAGCTACACTTCACAATTATTCAACCTTTCAATTATAGGTATTTATATAAAAACAAAATCAGGTAAGGTGGTATGCACCTGTAGTACAAGAACTAGGGACACTGAGGCAAGAGGACTACTTGAGTCTAAAAGTTTGAGACCAGCTTGGGCTACAGTGAAGCCTGGTCTCAAAAACAAGGATGCTAAGCATGGTGACCTATCTATAATCCCAGCCCTAGGAGGCTGAGGCGGAAGAATCAATCAGCAATTCAAGATACCCTCAGCTACACAGGG